GGCAGGAGGGCTAAAGTCGATGTCGTTTTGCAACAAGAGCTCACAGCTCCAAAAAATCTGGAGCTCCCTCACCATCCGCAAGCTCTGCCTGGCTTCTCGAACTCCCCCAGCTTGTTAAGGTTTGGGTGACCAATCTCTGTTGAACAGGCTGCACGCAGCAGGGAGCCTCTTCGAAACTGACCGAAAAGCCAATGCACTGACAACTGCAGACGTACACGGCCACATTAGAAAAAGAAAAGCTGATCTCGGATTCACCGGGCGTGGAAATTAAAATGTTATGTGAAAACATTTCTGGACTTAGGTCTGTAAATGTACACCTGGCTGCAGGAGCCAATATCCTAACTCCCACTTGCCAGAAACAATGAGAGTTTGATAACTATATAAGCATTGTCATTGAACAATAAGTACAGTTTAAAAATATGTAAGATAATACATTAGTGAAAAATCTAGTTCCAGATTCAGCGCACCAACACTGCATGTATCAGTAAGATAGTCTATGAACAACTACACTATATTACAGAGGTATAAGATACATGTGATCAACCTATCAGACCTTTTCTGATGTGGAGCTGGAGTGTTGCTAGGATTGGCTAGCCCTGCAATAATGCCTGGCTATTTGGAGGTCCACTGCATCTACACTGCAATTGTGAATACCCAGGGATACATAGAACCCCATCTTGGGGTCCATTAATTTAGCACAGAAAGGGTTACCCGCAGTTTAAAAGTCAATTACTCTAGTGCAGAAAGGGTTAACCGCCATTTAACCCAGAGTCCATCAGTTTAACTCTTTCGGCACTAATCCCAGTGTGGGACCCTTAATCTTGTGTTGAAAGGTTGAACCCCAGTTGTGGGGTTCATTCATTTTGTACAGAAAGGGTTGACCCAAGCTCGCTGTCTGTTAATCTAACGCAGAAAGGGTTGACCCCAGTCTGGTGTCCATTAATCTAGTGCAGAAAGAGTTAACTCTACTGTGGGGTGCATTAATCTAGTGCAGAAATCCATTAATATAGCGCTGCCGGGGCTAATCCTAGTTTGGAGATTGTGTGGAAAAAGTGCTCATCCTGGCTCTGAAGATCTACAGGATCACAGCACGACCATACTGAGACGACAGGTGTAAAGAACTCTTGCATGCTTGCTGCTGAGTAAGAGAAAAGGCAGGCAGGCAGGTAGGGAGAGTGAGAGACAGATGACAGACAGAGCAACTGAAACCTCACTGAGAAACAGGCAATAGAAGAACACTGGACACGCTAGGGGGGTGATAGACATCATCTCCTTGATTGAAGTAGATCAGGAAAAGCTTGCAGACTCTAGAAAAGTATCCTGAAGCTCTGCAGCACGTCTTTCAAGGGTTTCATGATAAGACATCACAAAGCTCAAACATCTGCCCTGGTTTTGTCGTTGACATCAAAAGAGGAAGAGCAAAAATTGGGGATTGCACCAGGTGGGCTGGGGGGCACCCCACGATTTATGATAAACTCCTAATTAGCACAGAGTCGGGGAGGCCGGCACGCTGCTGGGGACAAGGAAGTTGTGAAGGAATATCTGAACTGGTGTGCAGGCCAAAGCGAACTCAAGTAACCAGCGGTTACCCCATTTATAAGACCCCACTGACTCGGATTCCCCCAGATCCCAGGACGATCTCCGTGTGCAACAGTCGATCTTAATGGACAACTCTGAGATCCCTCCAGGGATATTAACCATCTCATTCCAACACTGGTTTGACAAAAACTGAAATGCGTGTTAAACAAAATGTCAGCGTCACATGCAGAGGAAGGTTAATAGTGGGTGAAAAAAATGCCCCCAAACATAGCGCAAAAAAACACGGAGAAGGGCTAGGTACGGATACGAGCGTCTCAATAGTCTTAGGGCTAAAGACAAGAGGAAGAAACTCTGGATTGGGCTGCCTTCCCATGACGCTCCCTCCTTCTCTTAATTCAGACAGACGAGGCAAGAGGCCTGGAATTAAGACATGTGCAAAGTATTACATGAGAATGGGTGCTGCTGACCTTGAAGAAGAAGCCCCTGTAAAAGGTACATAATGGAGATAATAGCAAAAGACAAGCATTAAGAAGGGCAGACGATATGAGGATATGAACCTACTTGAGTACTTGTCAGACCTCATTTCCAAGAGTGCATACAATTCTGCTCACCGCATAGCGACGCATAACTCGGCTGTCATGGAAGGAGCTCAGGAGCTCAAGAAAAGAGCGACCCCATGACTTTCTCGGGTCTGAAAGGGGTGTCTCTCATCCCATGGTGCACTTCAAGACGGAAAATGAAATGGGCACCCAGGGTCACAAAGGGAATTAAGCGGATGAGCGTTCAGGACTGGGGAAAAAGCAGAGAGTCTGTACACCAAGAGTAGGTGGTGTGGGGAACAAGCTGCTGAACCATGTTGGTGAAGCTAGTTTTAATAACATCTGGATGAGATCTAGATGTCTGAACTGATTCGGAATTCAAAGCCCAGGACTGGATAGCCTGTACTGATTTATGTATACCCTTTCTTATTGTGTTAACTACCCCTGTCTATATCTAAGACAAAGCGCTTCAGGAGTATCCTGGGTTCCTCAATTTTTTTGTACAGATAGAGCTGTGGACATGTCCTTGGTTAAGAGCTAGACATGCATCAAAACTTACTGCAGACACTGAACTCAATTAGAAGAACCTATTTTATTCCCCAACTAAAGTAATTTAGAGTAAGACATTGCTTTCCGACATCCAAACCCTTTACAGATAGCTTTAAAATAGCTTTAAATACCTGATTAAAACAAAACTTATTTAAACAAAACCCTAACCCACCGTCATACAATTTCACTGTAGTAACGTTTGCATTTTCTCAATAATCTGTCGCTTTTGAAGACAGGTTCCAGGCAACACTGCATGGGAACAGAGTGGGAAATTCCTGAAAACCAGATTCAGTGATAAGGGGTACTAATGTTTTGTCGCACCTCGGGGGCGATGGCTGTTTGTGCAGTGCAGTCAGAGCACTGTTTTAATCGCTGCGATATTTTAGAACTGTCAGCCTGATCGTTTCGGATGCATTGCGTAAGCAGTCTGTGAAGGCCAGAAGCGACTGCATTCTGCAGCAGAAATGTCCGAGCCTTCCCTCTGTTCCTTGTCTGGAAAAGTAATTGTCGCTGCGCATATCCTGGCTTTATAAGGCAACACAGTATACGAAGACAATTAACATAGATAAATCCATAGACTCTGGCTCCTGCAGTGCCTAGTTATGGGGTCTGGCAGCAAGATGAATTGAGAATAGACCTTAAAAAGCCTGGCAGTGGGACAGCAGGCCTTCCTGCTGTACAGTATATCACTCGACTGATGGTGGCCAGGAGCAGGATTCTAAACGCAGTCTTCCGAGGCCAACGCAGTACATTAAGCTCATTTTCACACAACGTGGGGAGCGTCTTGGCCTGGCCGAGCCGGCTGTGCAAGTCTGTAAACGAGCGCCGCTCATTCAGAAAAACAAGCAAGAGAGAGAAAGAGAGACTATACTACACCGCACGACAGCCCTCCCTTCGCACTGCCTGACCACCCCACGGCAGTGCTCCAGCCGCCTTGAGCTGCAGGCGGCCATCCGATTCTCCAGACGTAGCGCTCCGCTTCTGTTTATAAAGTGTGGAACAGCCTGCTCTCATCTATAATCCCTTTGCTCTTCAAAAGCAACTCCACCTGTGTTGGAATGAGTCACCCTCTGAATTCAAGCTACAGGAGTGGAAATATTTTGAACACTTTGCACTTTTGTTTAGGTGGTTAGCAACTGCTGCCTCGCAGAGCTCTGGACCGGGGTGGGGGGGGGCTGTCTGTGTGGAGTTTGCATGTTCTCTCTGGGTTTGTGGGGGATTCCTCCAGGTGCTCTGGTTTCCTCCCACCGTCCAAAGACATGCTGGTGGGTTAAATGCCTTCTGAGAAAGCTGGCCCTGACGTGGGTGTGTCTATGTCCGTGCGTGCCCTTTGATGGACTGGTATCCAGTCCAGGATTTATCCAGTCTTGTGCCTGTGGCATTCTGGGATAGACTCCGGCTCCCCCGTGACCCGGAATTAAAAAAAAAGCGGCTGGAAAAAGGACGAATGTACTTTTGTTTAAACATTAGGAACAGTCTTCCGTGTCTTCTGCTATGGAGCAGGCAACTACTGAAGGACTTGGCTCTCTCCTTTGAGATGTCCAGCACCAGAGATACGCGACACCTGTTGCCCAGTGCCTTACAGAAACCGCGCATCTACAGGAGGAGCCACACACCTAAGAACATGAGAGCTGTCCGAAATGAGAGGAGTGCAGCGTGCTCCCCTGACGTGCT